CACTCTGCGAGTTTAAGGCAGAAGACGGGGGTGTCACCTGCTCACCATGAAAAGTGACAGGAGAGACACAAAGTGCTATGGGAGAGTAGAGAAGGCCACTTACGGCACCTGAGGGGTCAAGGAGCTGCGTCACGACAGACGCCAAGGGGGTCGGATCCAGCGCACAGGAGGGCAAGTGCTGTTCCGAGGTGGAAGGCGGGAAATGAGTTGGATTGATAGTAACGTCAAAATCTGAATGAAAACGGGGAAAATATAGTTGGAGGTTCCTCAAGAAAAAGCTGTGTAGACATCCTTCTCTGGAGTACTCAGGACCGCATTCTGAGGAAGCCGGTGAACAGGCGCTGCTGTGAGGCATCGCAGGGTAGCAGGGGTGGTGGGTGTGACGCGCTGGTACTCGGTGACCTCTCAGGGTCCTGTCTGTCTCGGTCCAGATCTATAAATAGAGCAGCAGCCAAGGTCGCTGAGGGCTTCGTGGGCGTCACTCACCGCCGCGTGCCTGACAGGCATTAGCTGGTTTCAGCTTCACAGCCGAGCAGCAAAGGGAGTGCTCTCACTGTTCCCATGGGACGGGTGAAGAAACTGAGGCACAGAAAGCTGCAGAGTTCTCCTGAGGAAATGGTTAAATAGAAATGAGCAAAACAAACCAACAAACCAAAAACGAGTCAGTCTTGACAAGGTCCAGATAGAAAGTCCTCACTTAACCACAGGGCACTGGACTGTTCCACGGGCCCTGCCGGCTGAAACTTGAAACTTGAAAGGGGCAACGCGAGCTTTAGAAACAGTGAGAAAAATTACCATTGTTTTGTGACCTTTAAACCTCTGTGTCAAAACATTTATAATTCTCTGTCGGTTGTAAATGTATTGAGAAATGGGAAAAAAAATAGTAAAGCTGATGTTTATTTAGTACACCGCAATTTCAGACATTAGAGACGTTGGAAATAAAAGTATTCTATTTCTGGGGCGCCTGGGCGGCTCAGTCAGTTAAGCGATGGACTCTTGACTTCCGCTCAGGTCATGATCTCAGGGTCATAAGCTCGAACTCCTTTTCAGGCCCTGCGCTCAAAGGGGAGTTTGCTGGAGATTCTCTCTCTCGCCCTCTCCCTCTTCCCCTCCCCCCAATAAAGTATTTTATTTCTTTGTAAAAGAACAAATCAACAGTAGTTTGAACAGTGCTTGCCTTCTCCTCACATCATATACGATACAGACGGCATTTTTCTTTTTTTTATTTTAATTTTATTTATTTATTATTTGACAGAGATCACAAGCAGGCAGAGAGGCAGGCAGAGAGAGAGGAGGAAGCAGGCTCCCTGCTGAGCAGAGAGCCCGATGCAAGTCTTGGTCCCAGGATCCTGGGATTATGACCTGAGCCGAAGGCAGAGGCTTTAACCCACTGAGCCACCCAGGTGCCCCCAGAGAGCATTTTTCTAATGCCTGGGCTAGCTGTCAGATTTCTTTCTAAGTCTGGATCAGCTTCCAACGTCTTATCATTTGAACTTTCAACGTTATGAAACTCCTCCAAGAGTGCCTTCAATGCGAAGATTTTTCCTGCTGTCCCTTCCTTTCAGATGCCATCATCCTTTTCATCACAACCCCTTATGTCCCTGCCTTTGCCTTCCCTGAGTTCCTCCAGCTCTATCTGCAGTCCCGAATGGCGGCACTGCCAAGATCTCCACGGTTGGCTGTCCCTCTAGAATTCCATTTCCATTCAGCTCGAATTTCACTTTTCACTTGCAATGTTATCGCTTTTCATTTCTCTGTGCATTTTCACTTCTGTTGGCCAATTCTCTCTTTTGATTGTCCGTTTCTGTAAAATGGCCTATGGGTTTATTCCTGGGGGACAAGGAGGCAACCCAGCACCTGCCTTCCTGTCTGCTTGTGAGCAACAGATAGGCAGTGACCGATAACCAACCGATGGTCTTGAAGTGCGGGGATGTGACAGATCACTGACCATGATGTGCGTTGGGTTTTTATGCAGGGATCTGGGCACTGAAGAGCTGGCCGGGGAGCTGGTGCTGTATGTAATTACTCACGGTGAGTATACCGCAGGAACTAAAATTTGAACCATGTTGTGGAGGGGCTGTTGTTATCCAACGAAACCCTGGCAACTGCAATCCATGTGTATCAGAGCCGTGCATAGTGAGGACTGCTTGTACGTGCGAGGCAGGGCAACTACATCATAAAGCTCCACGTATCCATCACCTAGCGTCAACAGTTATGAACTTATGATCAACCTCGTTTTCTGTAAGACTGCACCGGCTCTCCCCTTCCTGCCTTATTTTGAAGAAAATCCCAAGTATTTGATCATTCCATACCTAAATGTTTCTATTTGTAATTCAAAATGGCATTGGAACCTGAGCTCTTAACAATTATACTCTATAGCTTCCCGGGAAAGGGAGTAGACCCAGAGAAATGGAGTTAACACATGAACTGTATTTGCTTTTTTCCATCCTGACAACAACCTTGTGAAATATTACTGTCTTCATTTTTTCCGATGAGGAAACTGAGGCACAGAGGAGCTAAATCACTTGTCCAAGATCATACAGTGAGTAAGAAACTGAGTCAGGCTTTATATTCCGATTCCCTGATTCCACATCCCGTCTTCTTTTCTGTACATCACAACTGTCTGGAAGGGGGTCCTGAAACTCCCTTCATTGACTTTCTCCTGTGCCCAACCTCCTGTCAGCCCCCAGCCAGGGCCAAGAACTCAGGAAACCATAGATTACCTCCTTCTCTCTGAACCCCCCGGGCGTATGCTTCCAGCGGAAAGCACAGACAATCAGCAAGGACTCAGGACAAATCCTGGTGCAGATGTTAACTTTTCCCAGTCCCGGGGACATGGTTTCCACTGACACTGAATCATCCCAGGGCCAACTTGCTACATGCTCAGGAGCCTTGGTGCATCAACAACCCTTCCTCCACGGGTGTCTTCCCTGCAACGGACTCAAAGCAAAGCCTCAGGAAACGAGTTACTGGACGGAAACATGATAGGCCTTCCAGCCCCAGGCCTCATCTGAGACGGAGTTAAACCACTCTCTGCTTCAGGCTTGGACACGTCAGCTCTTGAAGGCAGCACTCCCTGTGCTGAGCCTCTGGCAAGGGAAGGAACACGGTGGCAACAGCAGAGGAGAGAAAAAGCAGGAGGAGGGGAAGGAAGAGAATGAGAAAAAGAAACCTGGCCAATCTGTGTGTTGGCCCCCATCAGAATTAGGGGCAGGGTTCTAATTCTGATGGGATTCCTTAAGCACCAAGATGGTAGGCCTTATCATAGCCTCTCTGCTTACTTTTCCTTTCTCGACTACTACAGCTTTCTGATTTTCCTTCTATTCCAAAATAAAAGCATATTTTCTCTCTGGCTTCCCAAGAGAGTTAAGCCAGGTAGGCTCCTTTGCGTTTTGCTACAGCTTCCCAACAGTCCCAGAAGTAACTTTGGGTGTGGCTGGGACAAAAGTACGTAAGAAAGGAGGTAGGAGATACCAAGAACAGAGGGATGGGAAGTTGCCAAAAAAAGGAAGACACGGCCAGGCTCATTGGAACATCTATTTTGGTACCTGGTCTTGTTGCCTTACATATAGCATCCTGCTGATTGAAATAGATGGTTGCTGTTTTGTCTGACCAAGTTCAGCACCCCCAACCTCAATTCTTATTTTTGGTAACAGCGTTTAGAAAGACCCTTTCCTTTGGGGATTTCCTCTCCCCACTGCACCAGAATCTCCTGGTGGGCCAATACAACCCCCTCCCCCCCTCCCCCAAGGGTGGGCATACAACCCAGATATGGCTAATCAGAGACTTCTTTGAGCTTGTGTATACTGATATGGAGAAAGAGCAGTCCTCTTTCCCTCTGGTTGCTAAACAGAAATTAACGAAAACAAAGTTATTTACAACCATTGCCCCCACTTGTATGGAGGAAGCTCATTTATAGTAGGATAAAATGAGGGCAATCACAGAAAGAAACAGAGTTGATTTTGTGTGTGTGTGTGTGAGAAAAGAGAATGATTGAGATAGGGATCTTTTTTTTTTTTTAAAGATTTTATTTATTTATTTGACAGAGAGAGAGAGGAGAGAGATCACAAACAGGCAGAGAGGCAGGCAGAGAGAAGGGGGGAAGCAGGCTCCCCGCTGAGCAGAGAGCTCGATGTGGGGCTCGATCACAGGACCCTGAGACCATGACCTGAGCCGAAGGCAGAGGCTTAACCCACTGAGCCACCCAGGTGCCCCATTTTTTTTTTTTTAAAGATTTTATTTATTTATTTGACAGAGAGAGAAAGAGAGAGATCACAAACAGGCAGAGAGGCAGGCAGAGAGAGAGGGGGAAGCAGGCTCCCCGCTGAGCAGAGAGCCTGATGTGGAGATAGGGATCTTTATCTGGCCATTGCCCATCCATCTATCTAGTTATGAGAAAAGATAGGGAAGTAATCAGAAACTACTTTAGTCTCTGGATTAAGTCATAATGTAAACTAACAGTATCTTTGCGTACCACTACTTGTCCAAAAATCATTTATTTCGTCAATCACTGGTGGAGCCAAGATTCACTCCAGGTTTCCCAGTCCTCTGGTTCTGTGGCTGGCCCTCTGCCAAGCTGCCTCCTAAAGATGGGTAAAACCTGGTCCTGCCCTAAAGAAACAAAGTCTGTGAGGATGTTAGATCTTTCTAAACCACTACAAAGCACAACACAACACTGTAACAGATACAAATAAAATTCAGTGGGATCCACAGGGGGGTAAATATTGGAAACCACGATGGTGCCTCAAGTCAGCCCAGGGCCGACTCTGGAGGATTCCTGAATACTTGGATGCCCAAAGGAACCCTAACGTAAGTCTGCCTCCTCAGGTCGCTTTGGACCTTCACGGACACTGGCATTTACTGATGTGCAACCAGCAGTTACCACAACCCTGAACAGAAACTTAACTTCTTTGAACTGTGGCTGTACATGCAGAGCTCAGCATTGTTTGTGACTCTGCCAATCATATTTACAGTTTATAGTTACCCTGAAACCTTTGCTCTGAAGTTTGCCCCGTCCCACTCCCAGTCACCACTCTGCTGCCTGGTCAATACAGCTGCATTACTTCCTGCTACAACCACAGTGAGCGTGCGGCTGAGTAGAGTTTGGAGAAAGGTAAGTGTGGATATTTATTTTTCAGGCATTTACCGAGGGAAATGAATTTGCATATGCCATTTACAAGCTATTTGCAAAATGTGCAGTAAATGTAGTTGTTTATTCCTAGAGTCTAAGGCGGTGGTTTTCAACCTTTTCTTTTTCCTCAAGTTCACTTTATGCTGGGCAAAATAGTCCATAGCCCAACAACCCTTTCCTTTCCCATGTACTAATGGAAAAATAATTCAAGAATATTATTGAGGGGCCATTGCAAAGTATATTTTAGGAGATTAAGTGTACATGTGCTTTACCAGTTGGGACATAAAGGATTCATATTCAAATTGCAATGCATAATTGTCTTTATGTGTAATTACTGGAGAATTAAAAGTCAAAAAATACAGTTGGAGCAAATATGCAACACTGGTTATTTTAACCAAACAAATCACAACTAACTTGATAGTGATGAAGCTAAGTTAACAGCAAATTATAATTAAAAGTCAGAATGGCCACACTTAAAGACATTGACTCACACATGGCGACACAGAGGAATGACAAAGCGCCATCCGGAGAATGTCATCCAGAGAATGTGGGCGAGGTTCCACCAGAACTTTCCCTGGAAGCCAGACTTCTTGGAGGAATATTAAATTAGAATCCTCAATAAAATCTTGTAGCTCATTGATTCTGGTTTATGAATTCCAAATTAGATTAACCTTTTATAATTCCCTTAGCATGCTATTAGTAAATAGGTCTTAGAGGTCCATAAAAGTGAGCATATGGATTTGTAAATAGTTTGTCCCAAAGGACTAAAGAGAAAACTAAATTTCTTGGGTCAGTTTGAGGCCCATCAGGTGTGCCTTGAGTAGCTTTTGAGAACCACTGGGTGGAAGGTTCTAGAACACAAATGAATTGCTATTCGCAGGAGACTTAGACCAAGGCAGGAGTGAGATATGAGAGGCAGGGACATTTATTCCAATCTTCTTGCCTTCTAAGATAAGAGTTATGCCAGGACCTCAGGAGAAAGCAGAGCATTTCAACCTGACACGGCTAGTTGAGTTAGCTTGGAGGTCAATATGATTTGGAAATTTTCACATTAGTTAATTAAAAAGAGCAACCTCCTCAAAGCCATGAAAATGGATGTTGGCAACTCACAGAGTTATGCTATTTTATTTGTGACTAAAAATTAAATGAAGGAAAAATTAGAAGTAGTCTGCCAGAAAACCTGGCAGGACCGGTCTCCAGAGGAGACAATGCATTGTTTTTCTACCTCAGAAAAGAATATTTCATAATTGTAGCACTTTCAACCTTTCAGAATACTTTTCCACATGTTACCTAATCTTTAGTGAGGAGGTGTAATTTCTGAGGTGACCGGAGGGTTTGCAGCTCCCCGACCCCTCTATTTCCCCTTTTCTCACTATTCTCATTCCTTCTTGGGTTCACATTACCTCTTAATCTATCCTACTCCCTTGTTATTTCTGCCTGGTTTCTTAGCTTTAGCAGCTTGCCCAGGCCTTGCTTAGTCTGGATTTTTCAGGATTTCTCAGAGTTAAAGAGGTGACTAATCCTGGAATCAAAATCTAGTTCAACCTAGATTGGTCAGGTCCTTTAAAAAAATTTTTTTTTGGCTTTTCAAGTGAGTCAAGTAGAACCTTTCATGTAATGTGCCTTCAGTCCTGGACAGATGATCCGAGGCAATTAGGCTTATGAATTGCGAGTGATCATGGATGGCGCAGGTCATCTTGTACCTTTAGCCTTCGAGCTGGTCAGCATCAGCTTCCATGTATCTTGGTGGTGGTATGCGAAGTTCAGTAATTTCGGGGGTGTTGTGGGTAGACCCGTGTCCTTCACCTCCCTCTGTCACCACAATTCATATGTTGGACCTTAACCCCCAGTACTTCAGAATGTAGCCTTATTTGGAGACAGGGTCTTTAAAGAGGTAATCAAGTTAAAATGAGGATATAAGGGTGCCCCCCCCCCCCCGCCAGTATGACTGGGGTCATCACAAAAACAAGAAATCTGGACACAGAGACAGACTCAGATAGAGGGATGGCGAGGCTGAGATGTGAGAAGGCAGCCATCTACGAGCCAAGGAGAGAGGCCAAGAACAGCTTCCATCAGAGCCCTCGGGAGGAGCCAGCCCAGCCGATGCTGTGATCTTGAATTTCTAGCCCCCAGAACTATGAGACAATACATTTCTATTGTTTAAGCCATTAAGTGGTGCTTTTTATGGCAGCCCTAGCAAACTATCACAGGGAGCAACAGAGACCAGGAGACTAATTTTGCCCACCTCTTCGTGGGATTATTTTAAGATTTGAATCAGCTAATAGATGTAAGAGCGCTTTGAAATAGTTAAAACCACAATGAAGATGAAAGGGATTGGTAAAAACAGAGTAGCACTCCCTAGCTACCCTATTTAAAACTACCATTTTTCAAAGTCACCCGTTTAGGGTGCCTGAGTGGCTCAGTCGGTTAAGTGGCTGCTTTTGGCTCAAGTCATGACCCCAGGGTCCTGGGATGGAGCCCCACATGGGGCTCCCTGCTCAGTGGGGAGTCTGCTTCTCCCTCTCCTTCTGCCCCTCCCCCTGCTTGTGCTCTCTGCACTCATGGAGGAGTCTCCTTGAGTTTCTCTCTCTCTTCCTCTACCCCTTCCCCCACTATCTCACTCTCTCTTTGTCAAATAAATAATAAAATCTTAAAAAAAAATAAAAGTCACCCCTTACATGCAATTTATTTTTCTCTATATAACTCTTAACACCTTATGACATAGTATATATTTTACTTATTTGATTATAGTCTGTTTCTTCCCAAGAGTATGAACTTTCTATTTTGTTCATTGCTGTCTCCCCAGCACCTAGAACTTTGCCTGGCATGTGGCATGTCTCCAAATATACTTGTTGGATGAATCATAAATGAATATTCGCATCCACTCATCTTCATCAAGCTACTGCTGACTAATCCTTTAAGATGAAAGAAGGGGAATCTCCTCCCTTAGGAAATCTCCCAAAGTCATTTTCCTCGTCCTTAGTTTGGGGCTCCTTGTCCATCCTCTTAAATGGGTAATTCCATCACCCTGACCACGTCATACTTCCACACTCCCTCACTATGGGTTCTTGAAAGTAGGGTCCACTAAAATGTATGTATCCTGTATCCCAAGAAGATAGTTCTGAACCTGAACCTTAGTGGGCTCTCCATTCCTGATTGTTGAATGAGCGGGTAACTGGGGAGAGAGGGAAGGGCAGAGAAGGTTTCAAATTGGCTCACTAGGATAGCACATACTGGTGAGGTTGTGGAGAAAAGGGAACCTTCAAGCACTGTTGGTGGGAACGTAATTTGGTGCAGCCACTATGGAAAACATTATGAAGGATCCTCAAGAAATTACAAATAGAACTACCATATCATCCAGTAATCCCATCTCTGGATATATATCCAATGGAGATGATATCACTATCTTAGAGAGATATCTGTTTTCTCCTGTTCGTTGTAGCTTCATTTACAATAGCTGGGATATGAAAACAACATTTTAAGTATCCATCTATGGATGAATGGATAAAGAAGATATTGTGTGTGTGTGTGTGTGTGTGTGTCTAATTATTCTTATGTATATATATATATATCATATATGTATATAATGAAATACTACTCAGTCATAAAAAAGAAGGAAATCTTGCCATTTGTAGCAACACGGATGAACCTAGAGGGTGTTATGCTAAGTGAAATAATTTGGTCAGAGAAAGACAAATCTTGCATGTTCCCACTTGTATTAGAACCTAAAAAAGCCAGACTCACAGAAACAGAGAGTATAGGGTCTGGGGAGCAAGGAAGGTGAGTAGACATTGGTCAGAGTACAAACTCAACAGCTCTAAAACGAAGAAGTGGTGACTATGGTTAATAAAACTGTATTTTATATTTGAAAGTTGCTCGGAGACAAAATCTGCAATGTTCTTACCACAGTCACAACAGCAAAACAGTAATGATGTGAGGCAATAGATGTGCTAACTAATCTTGTGGTGATCATCCCACAATATGTATATGGATCAAATCATCGCATGATGCACCTTAGACTTAACACAATGTTGTGTTTCAATTACATCTTAATAAAGCTGGGGGGAAAAATCAGAAAAAAGAAGAAAGGGCTCACTAGGGTGCGGACCTTGTAGCCTAGGCTGTACCCACGAGCAGTCAACAGTAGTGAGCCCTCAAAAAGAATGCCACCCTCACATGCTGTTTTGGGGGCCCCAGAGGAGACAAGTTAACTGTGACATGAGCCATGAGGAGGGCCTCATGGATTTGAAATAAAAGAAATTACATTAAAATCAGTTAAGCAGAATAGAGCTATGCAAAGCCACTTCAAAGACCAAAAAATAAAAGTCTCCGCGACACACAAAACAGGAGTCCCGTCTGATGAATATATGAACAGAACAGAACAGAATGAATTCCACTAGGACTGGGATGAGGGGTGGGAGTTGCCAGCCTAGAAAGTCTAGTTAGGAAAGGAAGAACGGAGGGGCCTTTGTCCGCTGAACCTGGCTTAGAGTGCTGGGACTGGGGATGAAGGTATCAGCCTTTCCTGGGATGTTTTTGATGGAACTGGACCCCAGAGGTAGGGGTAGGGCCCTCCTGGGAATGGGAGAGCTAGGTGTGAGCTTCAGGGAGTGCCAAGGTGGGGCTCCAACATAATAGAGTGATTGAGGGTAAGAATCCTCTGCCTCTGGGAAGCCTGATGTTGCTGTTTGCCTTTGAAAAGGAAAAAGTACAGGAGAGAAAATCTATGAAGGTCATGGTACTCTGGATGAAGAAATAAGGATCTCAAATTGTAAAGAAGGACGAAAGGCATCATGCTTGTCAGATTAACTCATCTTTGGGGTTTCAAGATCCAAGAAATGATAGTCATCATTTGGTCTGTTCATTCATTCATTCAAACGTTTTCGAGCCAGCCCTGCCACTAGATGGTTGGGGATATAAAAATCAATGTTAACATGTAGTCCGACTGTAAACTTTAACCTCCTGGATCTGTGTAATCTAGA